GTGGCGGTGGGGGTGGTGCTGGCGGTGGTGGCGGCGGTGGCAGTGGCTGTAGCAACGGCAGTGCCAGAGGCGGATCCGGCGTGTTACATAATGAAGAACATTGCTTCTTTTTATAATAATTTTTGTAATAAGATAAGTGGAGGAAATCGCTTCTCTGTTGAGCTATGTTTACAATATTGTTCTCTGAAGCTGGTATCCTTTTTCTTAGCGCCAAGAATCGAGATTTTTGGGAGAAATCAGAATCGAATGTGAATTAGTCAAAGTGGTCAGGTGCGTACTTGCTTAGGAACAGTGCAGTAATTCTCTCCATACCTACTCAAACAATTCACTTTGAGTACTTGTCGTTTCCTCTTAGCAATAAGAGATTAAATATTAAAGAATATTCTATTGCTTGACATCTCTATGGGACTTTCATTCTGTTTGTTTTATCGAATGAAATATATAGTGGAAACTCCTAATATTCCACTTTCTCTGTTATTGCTGGTTCTTTCCTTACGACCTTTAGCGGCCTGCCAATTGATTTGGAGGAAAATGTATAGATTTAGCTAAGCCTAAAAGCGGCGCTCCACTAAAAAAGTAATCAATCATTTTCCCTAAACAATGAGGTTTAGAGAAAAGCACATTTTCCCAAAACTTTCTGTTTTCTCGATAATTCTGGCTGATTGACCTATCTAAGTCGCTAACGAGCAAAATTTGGGCCGATAATCGAGCATATGCATTTTTGGTTAAAGAAATTCACTAATAAACATTTAACCAAACCAAATGAATTGAACGAGCAAACCAAGGAAATTGCTATACACACTACATGCAAATCAGCACGTGTGAGTGTCTACTAGAATTTCCTGTCGACTTTAACGAAAGGTGACCGAATGAAAGAATTGTTAAAGAAACTTTATTTAAGAATAATCACTATTCAAGGTAAAACCAAAAAATGCATTCAGAATCAGGAAAACGTCCACAGTATTAAAAACGTGCGGTATTGCATTCAGCGTGTTCAAGTTACTTATTTACGATTAAGCCTAATTTGAATTTCATTGCTAAAGGCTTTCCAGTCGTTTTCTTGGTCGTAGCTTAATAACCATTTCGTTAAAAGATCGAATCCAGCTTGAAAGCAATCCCGCACAAAACCACTGATTTTGTTTCCTGAAGTCTTAAAAGCTGCCTGAAATCGAGAAAAGTCTGCTCAAAACACATCCAGAAGCGCATGTCTTTGCGGCCATCGAAGGAAGAAACATTATCCAGGTATTCAAGGGTTTATGAAAAAAAAATAGTCTTAGAATTTTCTATTCGGTCCGGCAGCTCAAGGAAGGCGTAAATAATGAGGTTTTCTTTTTTTCTTTTTTCTTTTTTTTACTATTATTACCGGTGTGTTGTTTCCTAAACTAACTGAGAAGGGAAAGATCGAGCGTTTTTTCAACGGATTTCACGAAGTATTGCCACATTGGCACTTGACAACGTTATTTGAAAAACACCAGGTTGTTTTGATTTCATGTTGGTCTCTCAGCTTTGTTTGATGTTTCCAAGAAACAAGTTGATTTGTACGTGGCGAAACTCGAGAAGAACAGAACACGCTTATAACTTGTCTAGTGCCTCTTTCCCACCGCCACTAAGTTAATCTTCTTGTTCCCAGACTCCACGGCAATGATGCTGAGGTACCGGGCCTCCTAGTTCCAGACTCCTTTTGATTTTCTTGGTAGGCCTTTTGCTTTTAATCCGATGCTTTACAAAAGAAAATGTTAAAAAAGTAGGAAATGGCCTGACATCAAATGAACTGAACAAGGACATCATCCTGTCTGCAACCGAAATCTCCAGGCTATCTCAGTTACTATCTCTGATCGCCACGGAGTAGGAAGTTGAAAAAATCTCACGACGGCAACGGCAACGGCAACGGGAACGTTGCTAAACGAAAGGTTTAATGAGCAAAACAATGGCTACGCAAGCACGTTATAATTCTTAGTACATTTCTTTGCCGTCCTTCAAAAAAAAAAAACGTGAAATGACCAAATTCTTTGTTGTCTGGAGACCGTGAACGACGGTGGCTATTTTTTTAAAGTTTCTAGTTCAAATGTATCGCCGTGTTCATTTAGTTTCGTGCTGTAGTTTTAACAGAGAGAAACAAACAAAATGACTTTAGAGTATTCCAAGATTCATAGGCAAAACATAACTGTACTTTTTAATCGACGTTGTCCTCGGCGTCGTCATGCGTCTTGGCTTCTGAAACTCCCTAGTGTCCCTTATCGACCGCTATGATCGCTAAACCTTTATTTTATTTCATTTTTTGCAGCGATCGAAGCGATTATATGGAAACAACCTTACGAACACGTGAAAATAACTCACATGCAATGGCAGTCGTCGTCACCAAATAGAAGGTTTCATGAGCGGATCAATAGCTTTGCACGCGCATTATAAATTTTAGTCCATTTCGTAGCCACCCTTTGCAAAACAGCAATGCAACGTGAAAAGACCAAGTTCTGTTCCTTTAGGAGAATTCAGACCACGATGGCAAAATTCCGTTTTGAATTGATCGCTGGCATTGCATATTTAGTTTGAGTAGTTCTTTAGACAGATTTGAGAACTAAACAGGTTCAGATGGTTACGAAATTCGAGGATAATATATAAATCCATTTTTTGCTAGGCTCCCTCCCTGACCTCAATGTCTTCATTGCTTATGCTCCCTATTCTCGGGCAACAGTGCACTGTTACCCTACGAAGTCATAGATATTGTAATGTTGCCCGCTCCCCTTTCGGGGGAGGAGCAGGTTCATTGTTAAATGTCGAGTGAAGACCAAATAGCTTTTGAATTTCCTACTGGTTATTTTATGGTGAGCGTATTCTGACGAGGTGGAGGGGCGGAAAGATGGCGATTATTACAGACTTGTAAAACGAGTAAAATTTCACCTGGCATCGGACTTACCTTGTTATAACTCAGTGAAATTATAAAATAACGGGAATTTAAAAAAATTCAATCTAAAAAAAAAAACCTGTAACGTGTTGTCTTTTGCGTCACTTACTTGTACCTTGAAGACTTGTATAAAATTGTTGTTTGTCTTCCTAAACTCTTCACCAAAGGGATTCAGTCGCAGATCCAAATGAGGCAAAGTGCTTGAAATCGTGATCCTTTAGACGTTACAATATATCATACTATTTTCTTTTTTTCACAACGTTCACCGTAAGTTCAAATTGCTGAGAAATGACACTTTGGTGGCGCATTGTTGTTTACCTGTTACTCATGCCTCGCCATTCATTTCACCGGTGGCACACAGTGACCGGGTAATTTTATTTATTTTGTGTGTGTGTTTGCCAAATAACTCGGCACTGGTTTTGTGCCATTTCGCGATGATTTACGTAACGTACATCTTACATGCAGCTCTGTCCTTTTTAACCGTCACCGCTCGGAAAGGTAAAGTTTATGTCTTTACTCCATGCTGATGTCCTTTGTCTATTCTTCAGGTGTAGTTCTTTGTTCTCTTTTTGTTTAGTCTCTGCATGTCATCTATTGAGTCTTAATGATTTCATTTTGAACCACTTCGTACTCAAACCTTCAGCTGGTTAAAGCGCACGAATTCAGGAAATTGAAAAGAAAAGGTTACCTTTTTCTTTTCTTTCAGAGCAAGTCACCCTGTTGTTCGTTGGTGACATCTCCTTCTGTGGTCCGGTGAAATATTACGTGGAACATAATTACCAGTCATATAACGACTCGTTCAGAGATGTGGCTCCTTTCATCAGAGACGCGGACATTTCAGTCGCAAATCTGGAGTCTCCTTTTGTCAGCAAAGACGTGTATCGCTACAAGTACAAAGGAAAAAAGGGTACTTACCTGTATTCAAGTCCCGAAGCGGCCTCGGCGTTGAGGTACAGTAGCCACAATTAGTAGTTTCGGTCGTGGATCCATCTCCTCGATAGATCAGCAGTTATTAATCATAACTGTTGAATTTTCTTAGACAGCATAAACTGTAAAAAATAAATGATACACCAAATATTTTGATCTGCGGGAGAAAATTTGAAAGAAATGAGGGATCTCAGCAGTTAGCAGTAAGCGATGTAGGTAGTTACGATGTAGGCAGTTAAATAAACCCTGGGAAAAAAAAAAAAAAGAAAAACAGACCCGAACGGGATTTGAAGTCATGACCTTTGCAATACCGATGCATTCTTCTCCCAATTTTGTTCCCAAACAAGTGGGAGCTGTCCATTTTTTGACTTTGCAATATATCCGTAGAGAATAATACAACACGATGCTGAACATGTAAAGGCAATCTACACAAATTATTCAAACTTCGGGAGAAAGATTAAGAGATCACAAATTGTCGGCTGTTAATGATTTTTCAGCTGCATCATGCTGCAGGAAAATGACCTGAAAGAAAACAAGACTGAAACGACTGGAAGTCCATCGCAGGTTTTTTTCTCTCCATCAGAAAAATTTTGTCAGTTGTTCTTAGTAACAAGTGGCCAGGTAGGCTGATAGGCCAGGTCTCAAACCTGCAAAATTTCCTGATTATGATGACTGAGTTTGCAATGTTGACTGATCATGAAAGCTGAGGCCCTAGCAACCCCATTCTGGACCTCTATCCACCTTCTTGAAAATAACAGACAGTAACTGTACATTTCAATGGATCTCACTATCAAATGTTAATTATCAAATATCGAAGTTCGAGTTCAACTACCTCGAAGTATAAGTGGAAACGAGGCGACGTGTCTTTGCAACATTACCCGAGGAAATTGCGGCATATACTATACTTATTAACACACGCAGGGGCGCTTGCTACGAACTTTACTACCTATTTTATCCTTTGCCAATCGTGATGACAGCAAATTCTGCTTGTGTGGTTTGCTAGTTTTGCAGGATTTGACGTGGTTACACTGGCTAACAATCACCTATATGACTTTGCATCTAAAGGAGCAAACTTTACTGTACAAGTTCTCAAGAGAGTAGGCATAAAATATTTTGGTGTCAATTATGGGACATTGAATTCCTCTCAGGCGAGTACCGAACATTATAATTCTGCTAAGAATACAATTGACACTGTAATTCCAATTAGGATCAGGCTGTTCACGAGACCTACACGTGGTGGCCTAATGGTTAGGGCAGTGAACCTTGAACCATGTAGAACCCTGTTGGTTCGAGCCCTGCCCAAGGTCATTGTGTGGTGTTCTTGGGCAAGGCACTTTACTCTCACAGTGACTCTAGCTTAACATAAGTAATATATAGATTTAGCCAGGCCTAACAGCGGAGCTCCTGGGTCGGGTTGTTCAAAGCCCGATTTAAGTGTCTATACGGCCAACAGGGTTTTTTGTGGTTTTGGTATCTCTATAATGTGTAAAAAGGTATTCTAAGAAAAAAAATTGGCGCCCAAAGATCTAACTTTAAAGTTCCTGCTTCAGCCACGCCCAATGAAGTTGACCGTGAGTCAGTGCAAAAAAAGAGTCTGGGTTTCTGAATGCGTCGTGACGTCAAGTCAGGAATTGCCTAAGCCTGCTAGTTCAGGTCACTGCTGTTTCAGTGGTGGTTAGGAGTTCTCGTCGACAAAAAGCAAACAAACCAAAGTTGGTGAAACAATGCGGTCATCAATCAAGCAAAATAAAAACATGAGGCTTTGAAATGCTCCTGAAGTTGCGTCATTCGTCACCAATCTTTCATTGCGCAGTCAACTTCATTGGGCGTGGTCGAAGCGGGAAATTTAAAGCTTGATTTCATGGCAAAAAAGCACCGGATTTAATTTACATTTTTAGATGTTATAGAGATACCAAAGCCAAAAAAACCCTGTTGGCCGTATGGACACTTTAAGCTAACCTACGATAAGCGAGAATTTTGATTTGAGTTTTGCTGTGAGGTTTTCTCTTTGTGCTGTTTGGCCTTCTGTTTTGAGTTTGAATAATCTTAAGGTCCCCAAAATACACAAAACAAAAGCAGTAAAAAACATTTGTGTACGAGAAAAAATTATACTTCTGTGAACTTTTATAATTCTTGGTTAGCGTTAACCGGCTTCCGAACAATTCGACCCTGTTTGCTATAAGTTAACCTGACATGAGCCCGCCATCCAGTCAAAAACCTGCACCTGGTCAGCGGTCAAAAATCAGAAAACACGTGACCTCGATAAGCTCTAAACTTGAGCCCGCGATAGGATCACATGATACTGGTCGGTGGATACCATGTTTTGACAGGTGTCAATTGACCATAACATGGATGTCTAATATCAAAGAAGGACGCTATAAACCAAGGTTGCATGTCTCTGTCAGCCTATTAGGTGGAGTATGGCCGCCATCTTGCGCGACTCCGTCGCCGTCGCCGTCGCCGTCGTCGTTGTGCGGATAACGTGGTCCAGCGCAGACTCTACCTACAAACTTAAGTGATGCATTATTTGCGTAAACTTTTCTCAAATCGACAGACGTCGAGCTAACAATTTCTTTTTTGTTGTTGTTGTTGTCGTTGTTGTTCTTTTGTAGGAGCCTCTGATCATGACCAAAAACAACATCAGAATTGGGTTCCTAGGTTATTGTGAATTTGAAACCGATTACAAGTTTAAAAATTGTAGTGAGATGCGGTTGTTGTTTAACGCTGGCCCTGCCGTTTATCGAGATGACATTGCCACCAGGGACGTCAAAAAGCTCAAGGAGGTATTTTTATTCAAAGTTTTAAATAATGCATTAAAAAAAAGCTTAGTGCTTTCTGAAAAGATAACTGAATTATATAAACAATAGCTTCCATTTAGCGCAAAAATATGCTCGGATATTTCTCCGCGGACATTATCTGTTCCGAGAAGTGGACAAATATCCGAACATATTTTCAAAGTCAGCTAGAGACTATTGTATTTATTATCCTTCATATATTTTACGCAACACGCGCAGTAATGAAAATTGGGGAATATTCTCGGATTTTTCCCAGTTTTAGCTGGGGAATATTCGGTCACGTGACGCGTTTAGACCAATCGCGCGCGAGGGAAAATATTTGATGGATTATTATCGTGAATGTTTTGATAAAAACTGGGTCGTGTTTACCAGCCCTCACCGACCTGTCTCTCAGATAGTAACGCGACCTTTTTGTCTATTTTTATTTTTCAAGGCCAACGTCGACGTTATAGTGGTGTACATGCATTGGGGTAAAGAACTTTCCTTACAACCACGGCCTTACCAGCTTCATATAACTAAACATCTTGTGTCCCTTGGTGTACAAGTTATCATTGGATCACATCCCCATGTGCTGCAGCCACATTGTATCCACGGAAACAAGCTTATAGCATACAGTTTGGGAAATTTTTTGTTTCCTCCGAGCCGCACACCAGGTGGAAATGATCCGGTAAGGTGTGCAACTTGAGAATGCTTTTGATCGATTTTATTCTTGAATAGACAAAAATCGTCTTCCCGCCTTTTTTATACAAAACAGCAACAACTAAATGTCAAGTGATATAACGATATTTCGATTGAGTTACTGCTCCGAATCCGCAGTTCGCGAGATTTCTTTCAGCCGAGGTTCCGTGAACAGGATACTCGAAATAAACCGGAAGAATATAATAATAATGTCACTTCCTCTTTGCATCCCGACTTTTCAGAAAACAAAGAACGTTTGTAGAATTGGTGGGAAAGAGGGACGCTCGGTAAGCATTTTGCTGAGGGGTGCGCCGCTCGAATCCGAAATCTTAACCTATAGTAGGTCATGTTAAATTGCATTTTACTACCTTACGCTGGATTATTTAGCAAACATCCCTACCCTATACCAGACTTGTCTTTATCCACAAACTCCATCACCATCTCACTTTCAAACTTGCACGGCACCGCAAATGATCCCGACTAAACAAATGATTCGCATGCCAGAATTGATGCCAATACTTGGACCGCAAATGATCTTGCATAAACAAAAGCAGGGAATAGGATGGAATTTTCCTAGAGAAAATTAAATAAATTTACATTTTACATTTTTACAAGGAATGGGTTGCCCATCCCGCCACAGAGTGCTGGGGCAGGTGTATGTGATCAATTTATTGTAGTGCAAAGTAATACCTTGCTGTGCATGGTGCTCTTCCAAAAACAATATAATGAAAAAAATTGTTTAATGTTAAAGTGTGCCCGTGGGGCCAGTCTGAAAAGAGTCTCTGGTTTGAACTGGCGTATGTTGCATGGCAAGCTGTTGTATTCTGTCATTGTTCTTAGGAAGAAGCTGTTCTTGCAGATTTCTCGTTTCACTGAGTTGATGTATGTTGCCTGTGATCTTGTGTTGTAACTTGAAGGCACCTTCACTAGGTGAGCTGCGATGGAATTCGTGTTTCTCCTATGCAACGATTCGTGAAAAACTTCTATTCGGTGACATTCCCTTCTTAATTCAAGGGGAGACATTCAAGATCGTTTGGGTCACAATTCCATCTTCCCTTCTATTTTCCCCCTTAACGAATCTGGCTGTCCGGCTCTGGATGGTTTGCTCACTCTTCACGTCTTTCTTAAGATGGGGATCCCACACAGCTGGTGCGTATTCTACATTTGGTCTTACCAGGGCTATACACGCCTGCTCCTTGATCTGTTGTGGACATTTTGAGAGGTTCCTTCTCAGGAATGCCAGTGAGCGTATTGTCATGTTTTTTTTTTTATGTGGCGGTCCCACTTCAGGTCTGACTGAGGCTCGACTCCAAGATAGGGAAAGTGCTCTACTAGTTCTAGGATCTTTCCGTAGATGGTATTTCGGCTGGTGGCTAGATAGCTTAAAAGTATTGAATTGCTTTATTTAATGAATCTTACTGTGAAAAGTGAATGGAGAAAAAACTTAAAATGATCGATGGGATTGATGGCCCTCTGAGCGAATTCATCAAATAAATCCGGCACAACTGAAGTCCAAGAGGCAGGCATAACAATTGCAATGCCATGGAGCAACTGCAGTTGTCACTGCACCGCTAAGGGACGGCCTGGCAGCTTTTTAATGATAACCACAAGGACCCAGTTAAATACAGGCACTTTAATTTGAAGATTGCAACAGAAGAAAGCGATTCAGAGGAAGATACTCTAGCTAGGAAAGCGAAAGAAACGAAATTTGCTACTTTTTTCAGGCACCATTTTCCTGTGAAAGAACGATTTTTAATGCAGCTGTTTGATTTTACAAATTAAGTCATTACGGAGTTATGAATTGTTGCGTGTGTAAAATTCGCGAGGTGTTACGGAATTAAGAAATGCGAAAAAAAGGTATGAATAACGTAGCTCAATCAACAATGCAAGCCATTCTAAATTACCCGAGAATCCAGATACCATTTTCTGGGATACAGTTAGAGGAGGCATGTCTTTAATGAAATAATCTGAAGCAACTGTACTCATTAAGGAATGAACTCAATCAAACGCATCCTTAGTACTAACTAGCAAAGGTTTGGGTTGCTATATCGGGGACTTGATCTGTCATTGGGGATGGCTTTTCCGATTGTCCTAAGGTCGTATCAAACTGATCAACATCTGATCATTATTTCACGGAACGTCAGACGACATAATTTGGTATATGTCTTTCAATACAGAAACTGTATGGAGCACCTGGAGTGAAACCTGATGAACAGCAGATTAAAGCATACGAGAGCTATACCCTTGAACGCTGTGAAAATTTCAAGTTAAGCCGGATGCTTCAAGTTACAGTTTCAAGGTGTAGTGATTCGCTCCATTGTTTATTCAGTTTCTAGCTCTAAGGATCCTTTGCCATAGTTAGGTGAACATCACCAGGCAAAGTCTGCTTCTGAACCCTGTGACCCTTTTACGCTGGTGCCAATATCCTGCCCCTGTGATATGAAACGACTTATCAAATTATCACTCTCAGTGGATGAGATAATAGTACAACACAGACCAGGTTATTCTAACAACACAGAGCCATATGTGTTGTGAAAGTAGGCGGGTAGATTTTAAATATCTCAAGCCATGTCAAAAGAATCAATAGAGTCTTTTCCATGGTTCTCTGAATAGACCATATTCGTATTCTCGGTATTGACCTGGAACTAGCCTGCAAAGGAGGCGAGAGAATATTACTAAAAAGAGATAAAAAATCATTTGCTTTTTAAAAGAATCCTCGCATTGGCCTCAGCTGCAAGGTAGATCCAGTCCAAAACTAGGAATACGAATATTGCCCATATTCTGTATTTTATGAAATACTGGCTGAAGTTTAGGAACCAGACACTGTTCGTATGCTATCTACAATGACAAAAAAAAAACTAACTATTCTTAACAAACATTATTTTATTAAATTTACTATTATTATCATTATCATTATCGTTATTATTATTATTATTATTATTATCATTATCATTATTATTACTATTGTTATTGGATACTTTTAAATAAAACGCAGTATTGAATCATTGTTATGGCCGCACTGGTTAGTTCATAAATAATATTATTTTCGCCCTCTCTCTCTCTCTCCAGGAATGGTGTCTTAACAGCTAAATACATTCCTATGCGAATAGCATTTGATCATAAAACCAAACGACATCACCCTGAGCTTACAGAAAATGCCAAATGGATAGATGTTTGTGGAACTGGAGACAAACATTGTCAGAAATGTTACAAGGATTAAAAACTAAAACAGAAATTAAGACGTTAAATGAATTATCGACATTTTTTTATAATCCATGGCACGAGCAGTCACTTCAGACGTACTCCAGAAAATGTCGTAGATGTTATCTAGCTTACAAGTCGCATGCCTCGATCTTGTGTATGCGTTTTTGAGGTATTGGCATTTCCACGACATATTGTCTTCACAAGCATTGCTTAACTATAACATTAAAAGAATCATTGTCAACGGGTTAACGTTCGTGAAAGAAAGGTGAAGGATACAAAATCCTAATGCTCAGCCTAAATTTTGCCAAAATCCCATTTCCGAACCTATTTTTTGCCCAATCCTGTTCCCATTGGTGACATTTTGCAGAAATACCAGTGCATATTCATGGACTAACATGATGAACAACAGCTGGTGAATGCAAAGATGTATCAATTTGTTTAAACAGTGACTAATGACCAGAAAATTCAAGCTTAGACCAGAATTACTAGAATGGCGATTTATATTTCTTGACATTCTGTTAAAAAAATCTTTGGAGGAGGGGATTTGTACATCCATGGAAAATAATGTTTCTCTCTCTTTTCGGAGGTATCCTCTATATATTTGGCACTTAACATTAAAAAAAGGACGTGGGAACTGAAAGCTCTCTTGAATTTTCACCGCAGTGATATATAACCCCGATTTAAATTTGGAAAAAGCAGTAAAAGTATCCGGCAGAAACGAGTAGAACACAAAGAAAAGAAAACCAGAACGTGTTACATCAATGCACGGACTAATTGTATCCATGACGCTATATGCGAAAGCCTGAAATTGCACTCCAAACGTACGTCACCAAGAGATTACTATGATCATATTCTCTTGACGTCACCAAATCTGTATCTTACTAGTTGTAGAGAACTGATTCTTTTTTTAAGCGAAACAAAACAGGAGCAAGAAGTTGGTGTATTTTTAACTTATCCAAGTGTTATTTTGAGGTTCCCTTCAATTTCAAGGCGATTTTGTACACTGTAAAAAAAAGTAATAATTCAATGCTCCTTTAAATATATTCTCCCATTAAAGAACTGTGAGTAAAGTGATTCGGTACTGAGCGCTCTAAGTCCAATAGCGCCGCCTCGTAGCTTCCTGTGTCATCGTTCTTTAAGATGTTGTTGTTTTAGGTAATAGCCTTTACGTGCATCATCGTCACAAAAGCTCTATGAATATTTTAATAATCAATTCTTGGAACAGAACAGGTGTTAACAAACAATGCATAAGGTGTGTCAACTTGATCAAATTTCGATTAAGCTATGTCAAGAGGATCAGAAACAGCAAGAAAAAGGATTCTCTGAATCACGACAATTGCACGTTATCTTAAACTTTGCATTTAAGGCGCTATGAGTCGATCGCGTTTTTTTTTTTTTT